GACGATCTCCTCCCATACCAGTCAGATCTGATTTGACGGTACACGCACACACAAAAAATAATAATAATTATAATAATAAAAAAAAGAAGGCATGGTCTCCAGCTAACTGTGGACACCTAGTCTTGCAAATCATCAACAGTTGTGGGACCAATACAGGAGAGCGCTTTCCACACTGTGGGATGGTGGTGGATGGTGAAGAGACTGTGGCATTGCTGTGAAGTAAACAGGGCAAGATGTAACAAGAGGAATCTTGGAGGTGGAGTCACAGTTATATAGGTTTTGCTTGCTGGATGACTAACTGAAAAAGCTGACTTGTAACTGCTCTGAGATAAAGTTTGGTGGACTAGTTGAGTAAAATTAGAGGTTTATATGTGCTGCTAAATTGAACCTAGACTTTCATTTGTTGACCAAGAAGCTATCTGAATTGAGGAACTGTGTTTTGTTAATCTGGCTTGGGACTGCTGGACTAAACCTCGACTTCATTGTATGATATATATCCTTTGCCTCTGTGTCTCCCAACCTATGTCTCTAAAATACTGTACAAGTGTGAGTAAGCTCTGTGAATCAATTTGAAATGAACACTGGGCCCAATGATTGGTAGAAAAAGGTTCAGGAGCATGGCAGGGTGGCATGCTGGATCATGTAGCTATTTGTTTGGCACTATGGATCTTATTGGTGGGGAAAGCTCCCCTTTATGAAGAGAGTAGAAATCAGACTCAGCCTCTGCTATACTCCATCCACTCCTTTTACACCTGGTGTCAGAAGTGGTGGGAATCATTCCGCCAGACTCTCAAAAACATGGATTTGTTCTGTAAATGTGGAGCTTTGGGAAAAGGGGCAATAAAAATGGTTACTGTTTGTTTCTACAAAATGAGAGGGAAAATACAAAAGCTTACTTTTGCTTTTACTAAGAGGGAAACAGATGCTGAGAAGCCACTTTATGGCCTGAGACAAAAAAGTAGGAAACAAAAAAATGGAACTGAGAATTTGTTTAAAAGTCAATTATGTTTTCCTTATGTCATAATGTTGACATATACTATAAAAATGAATATGAGGGATATAAAATGTTGAGGTATATCATAAAAATGATTAAGGTTTTTGCTTACTTATCTAGTCCTGAAAGTTGCTGTATTGAGATACAGACTGTAGACTGTGGAAAGTATGATAAACTTGGATATTGCTGTAGCAATGTTAATGACTGCTGGATACTATAATGATGGGACACAGTGTAATTTGGAGGGAAGAATGTCAGCCAGTAGGAGATTAATTGGATATTCAAAAAGAGAAACTTCCCGGCGAGCTCTGGTGGCCTAGTGGCAAGAAGCTGCACTGCAATCGCAGAGGTACACGGTTCAAATCCACCAGATGTTCTGCTGGAGAAGGAGGAACAATCTCCTCCTGTATCAGTCAGATCTGATTTGACGGTACACACAAAAAATAATGAAATAAAATAAAATTTAAAAAAAAAGAGAGAGAGAGGGAACTTCCCCTAAACGATGCTGATAATTAGGAGTACAATTTGTTTGTGTGTGGAGCCTAGCCTAAAAAAAATTAAGCGCCATCCAGTATTGTAAGAGAGTTACATTTGAATGAAGACAAAGCAGGAAAAGAGACACTATGCCAAAAAGAGAGACCTTGAGGCAAAGTAAAGATAACGTCCATCAGACCCTCAGTCCAGCCTTGATGTTAAAAGAAGCTGATGAGTATGCTGAAAGAATTCACCTGGTGATCACCTGGGCCTATCTGATAAGTGGATGTGGGAAGCATCACATCTCTCTGTCCAGAACTTCATGTTAAAGGAAGCTGGTGGATATGCTCAACTCGTGGTAACCGCCTGGGTTCACTTAATGAGTGGAAGTGGGAGATACATAGTAATGAGCAGTAATGAAGAGACAGCACCATGACAGATAGAGAAGAGATTAAGATTGTTCATAATTTCACCTTGCACAGGTCCACAATAAATACTCTTGGCACCAGCAGTCAGGAATCAAAAGAAAAATTGGATTACACGAATCTTCTATACTGGACCTCTTCGGAGCAATGAACAGCAATGATGTCAGTATTAAGGTATTAAGTATGAAGGTGCACCTGATCCAGGCCATGGTCTTTGCAATTATATATCACCGACAAATGACTAGCGTCACAGGAACAGGTGTGTCAGGGACAGTGACACTGGCTGAGAATAGGGCAGGGTTAAGAGATACTGTGCATAGGGTCACTGAGTTACAGTTGATTTGATAGCATATAATAGTCAAGATTGGTGGACGATTTATCAACAACCTGCGTTATGCGGATGACACAACCCTGCTTGCTGAAACTGAAGAGGACCTGAAGCGCCTGCTGCAGAGTGTCAAGGGCTGCAGCCTACAATATGGATTGAGGCTCAATGTCAAGAAGACAAAGATTCTCACCCCTGGACCAATTGGCAGCATCAGGATGGATGGTGAAGAGAATGACATTGCACATAGCTTTAGTTTGCTTGGCTCCATAGTCAATAGTCTTGGCACCAGCAGCCAGGAAATTAAAAGGCGCATTGCCATGGGGAAGTCTGCTGTTAGGGACCTCTCCAAAGTACTGAAGAGCAATGGTATCTCTCTGGAGACTAAGGTGCGTCTGATACAGGCCATGGTCTTCAAAATCACCTGTTATGCATCAGAGAGTTGGACAATGACCAAGGAGGATAGAAGGAGAATTGATGCCTTTGAGCTGTGGTGCTGGAGAAGAGTATTGAGAATACTATGGACTGCTAGGAAAACAAACAGATTTGTCCTGGAAAGGGTTAAACCGCTTGGCCCCTTGGAGGCAAGGATTCTGAGGCTCTGTCTAACATACTTTGGACACATTGTGAGGAGAGACCGGTCCTTGGAGAGGGACATCATGCTTGGGAGTGTGGAGGGACGGCGCAGGAGAGGAAGACCCTCTATGAGGTGGATTGATTCAGTGACTGGGATAATTGGGATGGGAGTGTCAGAGACAGTGCGATTGGCACAGGACAGAGCAGAGTTTAGGGCTGTTGTACACAGGGTCGCTATGAGTCGCAAGCGACTCGACGGCACATAACAACAACAACAACAACAACAACAACAACAACAACATAGCAACATTTAAATCAGTACTCTGAGGAAATAAGCATATTCCTTTTTTGAAACAATCTTCTGTTACAGTTAAAACTTTCAAGTGGGGGGAGGGTTGGGAGAGGAGAAAGGTGCAACAATGAATGAACAGAAATCCAAAGGCTCTGTAAATTTTCTTTGAAATTAATAATAAATTTGAAAAAGAACAAACTTTCAACTGCATTCATAAGCAAACTGCAGTCCAGAAGGAAATTATGTTGCAGCAATTAACCCTAGTTCACAGCATGAAATATCTCTCTTCTTCAAGATCCTTATGAAGTGGCATCAAGTAAAACTCGCAACCAAAAGAACAAATCAGTGTTTAAATAAGAGAGGTTTGCATTAGAGTATGAAAACATTTTGTTTCAAAAAGCCACATAAAGGGAGCTCTGGTGGCCTAGTGGCAAGAAGCTGCACTGCAATCCCAGAGGTGTGCGGTTCAAATCCACCAGATGCTCTGCTGAAGAAGGAGGGTCAATCTCCTGCTGTACCTGTCAGACCAGATTTGACGGTCCATGCACAAAAAATATTTTAAAAAATATTTTTTAAACAACCACATAAAGCAAAAAGCGTAAGTTGAAAAGTAGTCTATTGGATGGAGCCTCTTTCATTTAAAGAAACTAAATTTAAGTGAGCTAAATTTAATTGAAGGAAAATACTTACACAGTCAAATACGTATTTCATAATCATCTCTAGATAGATGAGGAAATCACGCATAAACTATGAAAAATATTTCTTAGAAAACACATGCATAAGTGAGTGCACAGTTGAATGATAATGTATTTTCAAACCCATACTCTTTGCATTAGCCGAATGGCAGGCTATGGATGGATTTAGAGGTGGTCCTAACCATATTCTTGCAATCACCACCGCACAGTAATCTCCCCCCATGTAATTTGCAGTTTGTGAAAACCCACTGAAAAATTAGCTACGAGTTGGTTTGACTCAATGGAATACACAACAAGATCTTTGCATTTCCATAACAACAACAACAAGATCTTGCATTTCCATAAACTCTACGTAGCTAGTGCTACAAAAACTGTCAAACCGTGAAGAAAGCGTCACAGGGTGGGGAAGAGATGGCATCACAATGGGGAAAGAATTTAATGCAAGGAGGCCTGACTGTCAGACGCCAGCTGCATCAGTTTGGGCTGATAATGCTTCTCTCTCCTCTTCCTGAAGTTCCATGTCAGCCCGACACCTCACAGTAATCTGACAGCAGCCTCAGATCAGTGACCTGACAACAGGCCCATGTCCCAGTGCACAAGATTCCGGGGCTTCTCATTTCCCAAAGCTTCGTGCTCCTAAAAGACACCGACCTCCATCACTGAGATTAAAGCGAAGCTGGACCAGCTGCGATGTCTATTCCCGACCTCCACCTTCACAGTCACTATTAAGCCCTGAACCCAGACTATGCATTCGGGGTGGAAAAAAAAAACACACCTCCAAGCCTTTTAAAAACCCAAGTGATCTGCAAATATCGCCGATTCGACAGCCCTGAAGCCGCACCTGTCAACCTACAGCGCGCATCTTCCAGCATCTCCGCTCCCGCGCGCCCCGCAGGAAACTCCCGCCCTCACTACACATTTATATCGTCCAATTTAAAAAATAAAGATGCTATAAATAAAGAATGCTATAATAATTGCGCTGTAATAAAGAATAAACGGACCTGTTAAGGGTGTTTCGGTGTGTGTTTTGATTTCGGAATCACCCAAACTCAAGAGAAAGCTGACATCTCAGGCAGGTTTTCATCGTCGCTTCCTTATACGTCATCGACGTGCGCGTACGGTGGCCGGTGAGGCTCCGAAGTCCTCGACGGAGTACAAACGCGAAGCACGGCACGTCCGCGCTGGGCGATGTCTGCACCTTGTCTGTGGCCCAGGTTCACGGTCAACAATTGCACGCTCGCCTCGCTGCAGTGTGTTTGCTGGATTTCCTGAACAATCCAGGTTTCCATAAGGGGCGCGGACTCCGTAATTTCTGTCTGTCGTTGTTATTTGGGTGTTGTGTACTTTTCAGGTGGAACTGAACCATCGCAGATCCGCTGGAAAGTTTGCAGAGGCAATTAATCGCTGGAGAGGAGACTGTGCCTTCTGCTCTGATGGCATTGAACCACCTGTTTTGGGGATTGCGGCGCAGTTTTATTGCCACTAGGCCACCAGAGCTCAATCTCTACTTTTTAAATATTTATTTTTTTCTTTTTAAGAGCTCAATATTTTTTTTTAATTTTTATTTTATTATTTTTGTGTGAGTGTACCGTCAAAGCAGATCTGACTGGTACAGGAGGAGATTGTCCCTCCTTCCCCCGCAGAGCTTCTGGTGGATTTGAACCGTGTACCTCTGTGATTGCAGTTGCAGCTCCTTACCACTAGGCCACCAGAGCTCCCCAAGAGCTCAAACTCTTAATAAAAGACGTTCACCGATGATGTCAGCTAAGGATCTGACATTTTTATGGGGAGCAGAGCCAAAGCACAGCCTTTTACGGGTGTAATTTCCAAAGTAGGGAATATGTCTACACCCTCCTGAAGGGATGGTACTGACAAATTCAGAATTCTCTATGTATGTGTCAGTTATGAAACTATAGTTATATAGTTATAAAACTGGCATCGAGTTTTCTCCAGCCTGAAAGGCTAATTACTTGACCTTAGAATTTTTAAAATTTTTTTTTATTAATTTTTTTGCATATACCATCAAATAAGATCTGACAGGTACAGGAGGAGATTGCCGCTACTCCTCCAGCAGAGCATCTGATGGATTTGAACCACGTACCTCTGGAATTGCAGAGCAGTTTCTTGCCAATAGGCCACCAGAGCTCCCTGACCTTAAAATTCTTAGTGTCCTTTCTTTAATTTGTATGTTTATCAGAAGAGGAGATGCATTTCTTAGATTAGGTGTTATCTCTTGTAACTTCCAAATAATATGTAAACTGTTAACTTAATATGCCTGTTTGCTGGGGAAAGGAGTACCTGGGTATGAATGGTTTTCTTTCAGATACAGCAATTCTTTGATTTTATGAACAAAAGTTTATTAAGTAAGTTGGCGTCTCATCCCTAGTATAAAACCCTGGTGACCTCTCCCAGTCGGGGAGGCAGTCTTTGAGGCTGACTCACTATCCTCCACAGACCTGTAATAAAGTGCATCTGGATATTACAATCTGTTTGTCTTGACAACTGACTACAGAACAAACCCCTTGTGTTCAGTAACACTGGTATAACTCCTTGAAGATGCTATATTGGAACATGTCTTACACAAATCAATTTTGTGGGTGCTAGAAAAACCAGGGTTTGGTTTTGTTTTGTTACCCGCAAGGGCTGACACACAGCTTCAGCGATTCACACTCTAGTGGGTTTGTTCTCCAGTGGGTTTTCAGAGGCGGTACGTCACACTGAAATAGATTGCCCATATTTTTCTTGAGGAACAGTTGGTAGGTTCAAACTGTCTTAGGGTTGGCTTCTCTACTTCTAATGGAACCACTAGAACTCTACTGATTACAGAGTTCACCAATGAACTAAAATCAGATGAGCTGTGGGATGCTATCAAGAATATCATTTAAAAAATCTTTTTATGGTTATCACAAGAGTCCACAATTAAGGTTGCATAGTGGAATGTACTTGGGGCGGTGGGAGGGGTGTGGGGGGATTGTGTACAAGGGAGGGTTAGGGTTAGGGTTAGGAGCGGTTAGGCGGTGGGAGGGCTGCGGGGGGATTGTGTCCCAGGGATGAAGTCTTTCTTTTACTTTTGAAAGAGAGGAGCGAACTGGTGGGCGGGGGGAGAGGGCTGGGCGGGTAGAGAAGTGCCGCAATGAATGAATGGAAATCCTAATTCTCTGTAAATGTTCATTAAAATTATTTAAAAAAACCCAAAATTTAAAAAAAGATCAATTTCAATCAAGTTTGTGCTAGACTCTAATCCAGAGTTACTTCCAGAAGTAATGAGGTCATTTTAAAATAATATGTTAGAGCAGAAATCACAGGATATGTGGAGTTTAAAATATTTCAGGAGAAAGAGAGAGGGACTGAGAGAGAAATAAAAAACCACAACAAAACCCAAGACAGGAAATGAATACAGATGAAACAATTGTGTGAAAATCTAGATTAATACAGAATCTGGTTAAGAGGTTTATGAATACTCATTTTACTAGTATATTAATTTTTTTATATATTGAAAATCTTAACAATAAAAAAGATAAAAGGTTAAAAAATCTTTTTAAAAAGGAGTATCATCCCTAAAGAATACAAAAGTAATATCGTTACTAAAACCCAGTAAGAAGAATGAGATGGATATCAAAAGAGATTTGAAGATTGCACTAGAATGGAGAGAAGACAAAGGGAAGCAATCAGGAAATAAATCTAGCACTAGCAGAAGGAAGACTTACATGCAGAACCCATAATATTTGTTGTTCATGTTCACAACGGAGTTTAACATTATTCCATCCAGTAGTCATGTTAAGATATATCTTAATAAATGGAAGAAAAAAATTATCCATAAAGTTAAATCATCAAAATTAGTTATGTATGGAAGCGACAGCCTTTTACACAAATGGTGTTGGAAATAATGCAAAAGTATCTCTAGAAAATGCAAGCAAGATCCACACCACACTCCATACACAAAAAAAACAACTCAAAGTGTATCAAAGACCTAAAAAAGTGTATCTAGGATTAAATCTAAGGACTATAAACTTCATTAGAGAAAAGCTTGGAAGAATTTTAGAAGCCCTAACTCACAGTATGAACAATCTTCCAATCATCCTGGAAAAAATCTACAACCAGGAGAGGATAAAGTAGAAGAATGGGATGATCTAAAAATAAAATCCCTATGCACATCCAAAAACATCTCCTTCCTTGAATGGAATTACGGAGGAGAGGCAAAGACATACATTTTTAAAGAAGTTCCCATTTTCATCGTTATGGTATCTCATTAGATACAGTCTTCAACTCAATCCACATTATATGTGGATTGAGCCTTTGGAGGTGAAAAGTGGTCTTTTTATTATTCTTCCCTCTTTTATAGCATCCAAACTGTCCATCTTACATGAATGTAGGAAAATGAATGTAGGAAAATTGGACATTGTTAAGAAAGAAATGGAATGCATAAATATTGACATACTAGGTATTAGCAAAATGAGATGGCATGGCATTGGACATTTTGAATCAGACGATTAAATGATTTACGATGCCGGGGAGGAAAAGGTGAGGAAAAATGGGGTAGGTTTCATAATTAAAAAAGTCATTTCTAGATTCATCCTGAAATACAATGTGGTGAGTGACAGAATAATATCCGTATGCATACAAGGAAGACCAGAAAATAACACAGTAATTCAAATATATGCACCAACAACTAGGGCCAAAGAGGGGGAAATAGAAGAGTTCTACCAACCTTTGCACTCAGAAGTTGATCAAATGTGCAATCAAGATGCACTGATAATAATGGGCGACTAGAATGCAAAAGCTGGGAACAGGGAGAAGGATCAATAGCTGGAAAAATACGGGCTTGGTGAGAGAAATGAGGCTGGAGATAGAATGACAGAGTTCTGCACATTCAATGATTTATTCATTGCAAATACCTATTTTAAGAAACATAAACGCAGGCTATACACATGGATTTCACCTGATGAACTTCTCACATTTAAAAAATCCTGTGCTTCTATGAGTCTGGAGACAGTGAATCTCATTGCTTCTGACACGAACTGTAGAGTGTGACAAAGTAGCTCCAGGAGGGGGAACTGGGCCCGTGAACAAAATCCATACACAAAACAATGGCTCCAGAACTAAGTCATACTCAACTCTACACACTCTTATCTTTTTCTACTAATCCCATCATCAATCGCACCATGCCACGGGGTCTGAACATTGCAATAGCTACAGACGGCAAAGAAACATAATTATGAGGGTTTATTAGGGAACTTAACAGGTTACAATTCACACTGGTAGCAGGATATACCGCAGCTCACTTCAGACTGCTAAACAAGCATCATTGCAGACCTTCTCAACTGCACAGAGCAGGTCTATGTGAAAAACATCCCCTTCATCCATTCAGTCATGTTGTTATCCCTCACTCCTCCAACATATTTGGGTAAAGCCTCGGGCTCCGTGGGGCAGCAGCTATTATGTCTCACATCAGGTTTCTGGCTCACTACTGAGGCAGCAGCAGTAGCAGCTGCTCCTATAAGACAGACGTGACTGGCACAGGAGTCTCTCTCCAAAGGACATCCAGTGCTTCTGCCTTGTTGCAACTGGAAGCTGTTGCTGCTGCATCTGCTCATAAATAAGATTTTGCTGCTGTATGGATTCTCTGCCACCTCCAGAAGGTTCCTATCTAGCAACAGGCTGTCCCAGAAGGGTATGTTCGTGTTAGAAAGGAGCCCACTGATGTTTACTGAGGTCGGAGCTGTGATTGGACACATCTGCACGGTCACGGTGTTAACAGGGCTGTCCTCTTGCAAGGCAGCACGGCTATGTGGTGACATGAGACTTCCTGTGGAAGGCTTTCCACTTTGATGGAATCTACACCTTCCTGTCCTTTGTGTTTTCTTTGATGTTAACAATGGTTAGAAGCACATGTTGTCAACGTTCCTGTTTGCTGGGTCAACCCTATGAGATCTTCTCTTCATGAGGACAGTGAGCTCTTGTTTCGTCTTGGTTCTCTGGCATACACGGCACAGACAGGGCTTCCTTCTGGTGAATTTTCAAATGTCTACTGAGACTTGACTGCTGGGCATAAGATTTCCCACACTCACTACACGAAAAGGATTTCTTCCTTGTGTGAAATCTCTGACGTGGAATGAGGAACGACTTCTGATTGAACTGGGTACCAAATTCACTGCCCAGAGATGGTTTCTCTCCGGTGTGAGTTCGCTGATGGAGCGTGAGATACACCTTGGTGCTGAAGCCCTTGGTACAGTGACCACACACGTAGGGTTTCTCTCCAGTGTGAGTTCGCTGATGAGCAGTGAGATTTACCTTCTGACTGAAAGTTTTCCCACACTCTGCGCACGAGTAGGGCTTCTCTCCAGTATGTGTTCGCTTGTGAATGATGAGATATCCCTTCTGACTGAAGCCTTTCCCACACTCAGGGCACAAATGGGGCTTCTCCCCAGTATGTGTCCGCTGGTGAATGGTAAGCGATGCCTTCTGGATGAATCCTTTACCACATTCACCACATTTATAGGGCTTCTCTCCTGTATGAGTTCTCTGATGCAGAGTGAGCTCATTCTTCCTGATGAAGCCTTTCCCACATTCCATGCATATGTAGGGTTTCTCTCCAGTATGAGTCCGCTGGTGTACAGTGAGTTTTGACTTCTGGATGAAATCTTTACCGCATTCGCTACATTTATAGGGTTTTTCTCCAGTGTGAATCCGCTTGTGAAGAAGGAAGTGTCCCTTCTGTCTGAAACCCTTTCCACACTTATTGCACACGTAGGGTTTCTCCCCTGTGTGAGTTCGCTGGTGGACAGTGAGCCGCGTCTTATGGATGAAGCCCTTACCACACACGCCACATTTGTAGGGTTCCTGCCCCGTGTGCGTGCGCTGATGGAGGGTCAGGACGCTGTTCCTCACGAAGCCTTTCCCACATTTCCTGCACACATAGGGTTTCTGCCCAGCATGAGATTGTTCATGTCGCGTGAGGTGCGTCTTCTGGATGAAGCCTTTACCACATTCGCTGCATTTATAGGGTCTCTCTCCAGTATGGGTTCGCTGGTGTATAGTGAGCACGGCCTCACGGATGAAGCCTTTGCCACAGTCTCGGCATTTATATGGCTTGTCTCCAGTATGTAGCCACTGGTGGGTAATAAGCACTGTCTTCTGCATGAAGCCCTTACCACATTCACAACACTTGTAGGGTTTCTCCCCAGTGTGAGATCGCTGATGGACAGAGAGCTGACCCTTCCTGATGAAGCCTTTCCCACACTCCCTGCACACGTAGGGGTTCTCCCCAGTATGAGTTCGCTGATGGTATGTGAGAGAGGACTTCTGGGTGAAGATTTTCCCACAGTCACTACATACGTGGAATTTCTTTACGTTGCGGCTCTTCTGATTTCTGTGGAGTTGGGCCTCCGTGCTTGGGGCTTCCTGATTCTCAGGGAACGTCATTTCACCACAAATTTGGTCATGGTCTCCTTGGAGCAAGGTCCTCTCATCTTCATTAGACTCAGCAGAGTTCTTGATCTGATTGTTTCTTCTCTGCTGGACTGCTGGTAACAGCAAATTTGATTTCACAGTTTCTTCAGGCAACTTGCAAACACCATGGTTTCCTGTGAAATGAAAACTAGTTTTGTGATGATCAGGGTTTTCCAAAGCATTGAGCTTACTGCAGTGTTCCAATCTGGCTAGTCTTCTGTCTTTATATGTGAGCCTAATCAGACGAGCATCAGGTTTCTGCACTTCTAGGAAAGAAGAGAAGAAAGAATCTGTCCATCGTTGACATTTTTATTTAAGTGGGCAAAAAGAAAACAAATAAAGGTATTTGTAAACGGTTTGGTTTTGGTTTTTTTTTTTTATTTTATGTGTGTACTGTCAAATCGGAGAGTTGGACAGTGAATAGGGATGACAGAAAGAGAACTGATGCCTCTGAGCTGTGGTGCTGGAGAAGAGTGTTGCATATACCATGTACTGCTAGGAGAACAAACACGTTTGTCCTGGAGAGGGTGAAACCAGAATGCTTCTTGGAGTCAAGGATTCTGAAGCTTCGTCTGACATACTTTGGGCATGTTGCAAGGAGGGACTGGTCCTTGGAGAGGGATGTCATGCTTGGGAGGGTGGAGGGACGGTGCAGGAAAGGAAGACCCTCAATGAGATGGATCGATTCTGTGAGTGGAGTGGCAGGAATGAGTGTGTTTGAGACGGCGAGGTTGGCACAGGATAGAAGGGCGTTTAGGGCTCTTTTACGTAGCGTTCCTATGAGCCGCAAGTGACTCAATGATACACAACAACAACTGTCAGATCAAATATGACTGGTACAGGATGAGATTGTACCTCCTTCTCCAACACTTACCTCTGGGATTGCAGTGCATACTTCAGATTTTTAATGAGAACATCTGGATATGATTGTAAATGAAACATCACTCTGTTAGATGCATGCTGATGAATATACAACATAAGCAATGCAAACAGTAAAAGCACTTAGTGCAGGAAGGGGGTGGGGTTTGGTTGTGCTGTCTGGAGGGCGGTGCTCTGCTCACCCCATGCTGACATCTGAAGTCACGAGCTGCTCCGAGGTCAATGAGCACTCTTCTCCAGTGTGATTCACAACCTCAGACATGCACTGCAGGTTCAGCTCTGAAGCAATTCCAACTCGATGACATTGAGGTGAGGTCAGGAGGAGTTAGAGAGAGTGTCTCATAAATGAATGCAAACTCGACTGTTTGTAAAATATAACAGCACCCACTGCCACGGAGTTGGAAGTGACTCAGCGTCGACCCTCCAGTGTGTTCCAGAGGCTGTAAATGACAGGGGAGGAGACTGTCCATTTTCCTCCTGTGGAGAAGCTGGTGCCCTGAATAGCCTGCCTAGGATCCTGTGCACAACACAACTCCTTCCTCCACTAGGTTGCCAGAGCTCCCCTGAGAGACTGTAAAACAGGACGTGAAATTATGAGAAAGGTTATGTGCTCTCCCACGCGCACCATCAAATCAGATCTGACTGGTAAATGAAGAGATTGTTCCTCCTTCTCCAGCAGAGCATCTGGTGGATTTGAACCGTACACCTCTGGGATTCTGGGATTGCAGTATAGCTTCTTGCCATTAGGCCACCAGACCTCACCCTGCCTAGGATTCTGAGCACACCTCCTTCTTCCACTACGCTGCCAGAGCTCCCCTTAAAGAATGTAAAACGATGGGGAGCTCTGGTGGCCTAGTAGCAAGAAGCTGTACTGCAATCCCAAAGGTACATGGTTTGAATCCACCAGATGCTCTACCGGAGAAGGAGGGACAATTTCCTTCTGTATCAGTCAGATCTGACTTGACGGTACATGCACAAAAAATAACAAAATTTTTTTAAAAAATGTAAAACGGAAGTAACTTCATGAAATTCAGGTAACAGATAGGTTATATGGTCTCCCAATCTCAATTTTTTTAAGAAAAAATTAATTCACTCTGTAAACTCTTACTAAAAAAGCAAGTATCTACCAGCATAAATAATTTAGTATATATTTTACCCGGTCTCTAGGAAAGGGACTGGTAACTCTTAAAATGGTTAGAAGAACATACACAAAAATGAAAATCAGAACCTCTCCACAGGTAGGGTGTGTGTGTGTGTGTGTGTGTGTGTGTGTGTGTGTGCGCACTTGGCAAAGAAAAGCTTAGCCCTTAGCTCAGTGGGAAATCTGAGCCTTTAGAGAACCTCAGAGTTGAGGAAAAGCTAAGGCAGGAGGTGAAAGCAGACCACTTTAGTACAGGAGATCAATAGCCACTGAGGTTTTCAATGTCAAACTCAAGCTCACCACTGGAGGTGGTTCTGACACACAGGGGCCCCCATCATTTCGCCCTTAATGCTTTATGGAAAGAAACCAGTTCTCTTTCTACTGTGGAGGGTTCCCACTGCTGGTTTTCGGGCTGGCAGCGTGATGTGTAATGGACTAAGATTCCTGTTTGCATGAACAGAAGGGAAATCTGTGCTCTTCGAGCATAGACAAAGGTGCTTTACGCTGAGGACAGATAGAAATCTCTGTATGGTGAGACTCAGAAGGAGGAATTTTATACGACTGATGAGGGAAAGACAGAGTTTCAAATCCTAGAAAGAAGAAAATGATAGAACTGAAATATATCAAAATGTAGCATAAATAAATAGTTATGATCTTAGAAGAAAGAGTATTTCTCCTAACTCCTACATGTCTCACGTGGGGAGGACATGTGGATGTACCCTGACAGATTTTCACATATCCTAAAGACGTGATTCCTTTTATGTCACATTTCAAAAGAACAATCTGAAAAATTTCAAAGGTACAAAGTAAGAGTTGTGTTTTGTTTTGTTTCCAGTCAGGACTAGAAAGAACTGATCTAGGCCAAAATTAGACTGAGAATCTGTGACTTCAGAGCACCCAAGGCACTCCCAAGAGTTCACCAGCAAGAAAGGTCAATGCCAGGACAGTGGTCCTCACCAATGGACACCAGGTTTCTGTAGTTCTCCAACATCACGTCCCGGTACAGGGCCTTTTGAGCAGGGTCCAGAAGTTCCCATTCTTCCCGAGCGAACTTCACAGCTACGTCACTAAACGTCAGCAATTCCTGTAAAAATAAGAGGACCCTGTTTAACGAAGTCTTTTCCAATCAATGCTACAAATGAACCCGAAGGGAAGTTGTTCAGCTCATTTCCTCGATGTAGGCTGCTGCATCTGTACACATAACTTGCTTTATTTTTTTAGATAGCTTACAGAAAACAGAAAATCCTTACATAGTAGTTGAAATTTATACATTCTGCAATCCTGTCACATGTCAAATCTGCATTTTATATAATATACTGAAGCAAAGTTACCATCATAAGCTAGAAACTTTTCATTTCTTTTCTTTTTTTAAATTTTATTCTTTTTTTTGCATGTACCGTCAAATCAGATCTGACTGGTACAGGAGGAGATTGTCCCTCCTTCTCTAGCAGAGCATCTGGTGGATTTGAACCGGGTACCTCTGGGATTGCAGTGCAGTTTTTTGCCACTAGGCCCCAAAACGTTTCACTTTTATACACTCAAACCAAAGGATATATATATGGGCACAGATAGTTAGATACACACACACACAGAGCCATATACACATACACACACACACACACATACATACACACACACACACACACATATATACGAACATATATGTAACTATGCTAACAGAGAAGGTAGCTCCCATTATTGTGATCGGCCGAGCAGCAGTTAACAGTGACATTGTCAAAATATACCTCCTTCATGGGATAAGAGTTAGGATCTACCTGCACCCACAAAACTTTTACCTATTCCAGCAGAGCTCTCCACAGCTGCTCACCACTCCATTAGGAAACAAAGAAGATAGGAAACAAAGCCAAAGTCACAATACACCTAAATGAAATACAATGTAAATGAAAGACTGTAAAAAACATAAGACATTGTCACCTGAGCCTTGACCATCTTCTGATCTTGAGATATACTCAGCACTGGGAATGCTCTTTGTCTTTTCTTAGTACGTGCTAAGTGCTGGTCAGAAATTCAGTCTCCTGGGGACGGCGTCCCTAAGAGAGAGGACACACAAATGCTGCCATCTCAGTGTGAAAGCATCAAGGACGCACAGGGAAATTGCCACATCATAGTGTCCGCAACACAAAAACCCATTCTCATGAGATCAGGCAGGAACAAGCTCCCTGGTGTATTTTCAAAGTTACCAATTCTTCTCCTGTCATCTTTATTCACTGGCCAGCTCTCACATGCAGAGCAAGTGATCAGAAAGACCATAGCCTGAATCAGATACCCCTTATTCCTCAAACTGACATCATTATCCCGCAATAATTTGGACAGTTCCCTAACTGTAGATTTTTCTCAGAAAGAGCCAGCAGGTTTCAGCCATCAGCACTCGCTCGTAGCATGAAATATCTCTCCTAATCTGGCTGGGCTCTGGTCAACTCACTCCATCCATCCTTTTTTTTTTTTTAAAACAACATTCTGATTACTTATTTTGCAAGTGTTTCTTCTCATTTTAAGTCAGACAACATTAACAAATGCAGATCCCAAATGCTTTAACTATGGAACTAAAATTAGCACTGCTTTGCAGAGAGACTTCTTCCTTGTTGTTGTTGTTCCTTAGAAAATAAATTTATGTCTACTGCATTGACATTCCTCTAGGTCGTATAGCCCTGGTGTGTCCATACAGCAGTAACCTGTGATCCATCATCCTTGACTAGGACCAAATGTCCACCAGCCTCCACCCAGGAGTCCACACATCCCTCTGCATGTCAGACCTGCTTGTCCTGACCCCTCAGTCCCTAACCTCTCACTGGGGCTCAGTCAAAAGTCAGGGGATTCAGGAGTCCCTGCTCCTCAAGTCAGCAACTCTTTGAAAGATCCAAACTCACTACAAGGCCCGGAAGCAACATTCGCCGAGTGCATAGCAAATACACTTTATTTAACATGCTCACTTTAGTGAAAAGCAGTGTGATGTTCAATTGGAATCAGCACTCAACAAAAAAGGACTCAGGTATTTACGGATTCCAAGTTGGCCTCTTAGGGGCAGTTATAGCAGAATCAAGGGCCTGGGGTCATTTCCCATGATTTCAGCACTCCCTATGTTCCCATGAGGCCAACCACAAAACTGAGTTCAGGAGCAAACATTAATCTTATTATTTATTTTTTCCTGCAATGTAGGGACTTAACTCGGTAGAATCAGAAGGTGAATAAAATGGACTATCTTTTGTTTCAACCTTATATTCCCAACTTAAAGAGGAAAGAGGGCAAAGATCTTCTTTTTTTTTTTTTTGACAATTAATTAAGCAAAATTTTTATTGAAGCATAAATTGTACAGAAATACAATTCAACTGATTTTAAGTCCAACACCGTGAAGGGAGAAATATGGCACCAAACCTTCCCCTCCTCTATACAACTAGAATTTAGATTACTATCCAATCTAGGGCAAAGATCTTCTAAAACCTACTTCTGGCTGAGATGGGGTGAAGTCAGGAGAAGGGCCTTATACCGAAGGAGGCTGGGGTGGAATTGGTTGATAGCGAATGCTAGTTCACAGGAACTGTCCCTAGGTCTCGTCTGTTAAGTGTTCAATTCTCCTAGTCAATAAATTGAGAAAAACCCTAGAATAGCTAAGAGACTTCTCAGAGGGAGTGGCCAGGTGTTTTATGGCAAGCTAATTAAGAAAATCAGCCAAAGCTCTTGGTGATAGATCCTTTTAAATATTAGTTACAACCAAGCCCAAACCACTGATGTGTGTGCAACAAGTTTTACTGATAACTGCACTTACTCCACCTGGTCCTGCTAGAAGAAAATCTAAAGGTAAGTGATTATGAAGAGCTACATCTCCTAGTGAATTAAGGGAGGTAAGGAGCCCAGACGGTGCCCTGTGGCTGTGTCAACGGAGAGGTCTTTAACACCTGCTGGTAAATCACACGGTATCAGCATGCTAAACAAAGCTGCTCCCAGAAGACCACTGCTGAAATGGGGGCCTGGATGCCGGCAATGACCAGACCGAAGGCTCAATTTTGGCGAGGATGGCTGGACCGTGTGGTTGCGCAGGGATATTACTGAGAATGGGGCCACGGGAAGGTGCAGGAGAGCCTGGGCTGCTGTCACTTTTCTGAAGAAATAACCTGATAGCCTTAATCTGCTAAAAAGTTGAGGAGACATTCTGGGGTGGAAAGACAGGCTTAACTGATGAGAAATGAGAGTGCCAGAGTCTGTGTAAAGGCAAAGGGAGGTTATGACTAAGGGACCAGCGTGATAATAAAAAGTACAACTTAGAGATTCAGGACTGAGAAATACAAAGCGGAAGGAGGTGGGATGAGAAGGATTCAAGAAGAGGGGTTCAGAACGACAGGACAAAGAGGCTGCACAACACGATTTACAGCATCAAAGTCCTGGTCTAATCCATGGAGACCCAATAGATTTATTAATTTTTAAATTTAATTTTATTATTTTTTCTATGTGTACCGTCAAATCAGATCTGACTGGTACAGGCGGAGATTGCCCCTCCTTCTCCAGCAGAGCAGCTGGTGGATTCGAACCGCGCGCCTCTGGGATTGCAGTGAGGACCCATTAGGTTTCTTGACCAGGAGGATTAGGGTGTTTTAGGGAGAGCTAACGGGGGTAGTTAGGAATCCCTTTTTGAGGAAAGAGTGAAGCAGAAGTTTGAGGCAGTACACAGGGCTTCGGCAGGGATTGGATATTGCTTTTGGGCGGTGAGGGAATATGATAGCTAGAGGGAAACAGGTTTGGGGTTTTTTTTTAAATTTTATTATTCTTTTTTTTCTTTTTTCACGTGGGGACTGTCAAATCGGATCTGACTGGAACAGGAGGCGATTATTCCTCCTTCAGCAGAGCATCTCGTGGATTTGAACCTTGCCCCTTTGGGATTGTAGTGCAGCTTCTTACCACTAGGCCATCAGAGCTCGCCGGGAAATAGGTTTTTCAAGTTGCATATTCGTTTTTAATTGAGCCTCATGTTCTCTGGACATGGATTGTTGACAGGTTTTTAACTCCTTCTGTGCCCTCATCTTCTCATCTGTTCCATTTTCTAGTCTCTATAAGTCTCTAGGGAGCTAATGCGACATAGCGTGTGGTGTTTCACTACAATTTCATCTGTTAACCCAAAAGGTGAGACTCTCTGCCAACTCAAATCCTCTGAGGAGTATGTGGGAGAAAGAAGGGACATCTCCTCCTGTGTGAATTATGGCTTCAGAAAATCCAGAGGAGAGTGAATCATAAGTTGGTTCCTAGAGGGAATTTTTAAGGGGGGGTGAGATGCTTGGGGGGTGGAGGAATTGTGGAAATCCCATACTTTGGGCAAAATTGGACGAGGGCCACAGGACAAAGGAGGTGCTGAGTTAGGGGGGGTGAGTTAAGAAGGCCTAGGAAGGAGGAAGAGGGGTGTAACGGAGTGGGGTATCTTTTGTCTTGAGAGGCACGGATCAATGGCCAAGGAGTGTATGAAGATAGATTAAAAAAAGTAGTCCAGTGGCCTAGTGGCAAGGAGCTGCAACTACAATCCCAGAGGCGCCCGGTTCGAATCCACCAGATGCTCTGCCGGGGAAGGAGGGACAATCTCCTCCTGTACCAGTCAGATCTGATTTGACGGTACACTCACAGAAAAATAATTAAAAAAAAAAAAAAAGTAGTTCAGCAAGCGAGCTGCTGGAGGCTGAGTTAGTGCCATCGGTGCCCACAATACGCCGAGCTGATGCCTGGAACGGTCCACGGTGTTCAACAAGGGCACAGTGGGTTGCTCTGTTTCAAACAGGGAAGTAAGGGGCCTGCCGGCAACCCAGGGTTCCGCAGGCGTGCTGGCGGGGGGCCTCCTTCAATCCCTCCCTGGGCTCCATCCATCTCTAGCAGTGGGAAGACCAAGCCAGGTCTCACAGGGAGGACCATGTGCAGCAGGTTTGCAGTCACACTTCCAACGGGATCCTCCACACTCTGGGCAAGGATGAGCTGAGGGCCATGGGGATGGGCACCGTAGCGCCCAGGGTCCCTCCTGTCTGTCCACATTTGAATCAAGCACCAGGAGTGGACCGGCTGGCCCCTTTTTAATGCAGGCTGAGTGGCTGCCTCGGCAGTCTTCATGCCTGGCTGCTGGGGGTACCATCCCTGATCGTTTGGGCAAGCATGTAGGATTTAGCTTGATCCCGAAAGGCCTTTGATTTAAAGGCGACCTCCTCTCTATTCCTGAAGACCCGAAAGGCCAAGTTCCGGTGATCGCATTGTGGAGTTTTTTTTTGTTTGTGTTTTTTTTTAATTTAATTTAATTTTATTATTATTTTTGTGTGAGTGTACCATCAAATCAGATCTGACTGGTACAGGAGGAGATTGTCCCTCCTTTTCCCGGCAGAGCATCTGGTGGATTCAAACTGTGCACCTCTGGGATTGTAGTTGCAGCTCATTACCACTAGGCCACCAGAGCTCCCCGCATTGTGGAGTTTTGAGGGCCATTTTCAAGGTTTTAGCAAGTATGAGAAGCAGACTGCGAAAAGACATGCCCATTACGGATTAACTGGCCTTTGGTTCTGGTAGGGTCAAGGGTGGGAAACCTTGTCAGAAAGGCGAGAGAGAAAAAGATCAGGGTTTTTCCTCAATGTAGGTGGTGGGTTTAGCCTCTGAAGAATAACCGAGTGGTCAGTAAGAGAGAAAGGAACACGTACACATCCAGTTTCCTCGCCGGAGCTGGACAGACTGAGGAGGGAGGAGGAGCGGGGGGCAGCTGGCTTGAGGCAGAGAGGAAGTACATGGGCGAGGTCCACACAAAGTGCAGGGCCAGCATGGCCGTCGAGGTCCTTGGAGTCAACAGACAGTGAAGGTTCCACCGATATGAGATTGGCATTGGTTGTTCAGTGGTGAGCATAGCTGCCTTCCATGGATATGGGATTGGGTGGGGGAATAGAGAAATGGAGTAACAGGATTTGTGAAGGGGAACAGGC